AATTTAGATAAAATAGGTTTTTTCATGATTATTATTGACTCAAAATAGGGAATATAATTAAGTCGGAACCCATGTAGTAATTAAATTAAATCTTTAACTCAACATGTAAAATGATACATAGATAACCTATAATCTAGAAGTGTGAAGTTTATTGAATGGAAATCAGTATCAACGATTTATTTATTAAATCAATATAATATTCACAAATTTAGATAAATAGGTTTTGCTTGTTATTTACCAAATTAGGGAATATAATCAAGTCAGAGTCCATATAGCAATTAATTGAAATATCTAACTCAACCTGTAAAATGATTACTTGTTATAACTTGTTACAAACGTATTTTATGCACCTATTTCACCTTTGTATTTGCTTGTTCATTGCCAATTTAGTGAATATCCACTTAATTTAAGTTAGATTATGTTAATTGTATGTAAAACTCGATTTTGAATGCACTTGGATGCAATAGGATGCAATAGGCGTAAAAAAATGTTAGATTGAAGTTTAATTGGAGTTGATTCGGGACAATTGATGATCAACCAAATTGCATTTGTTCAAGAGAATTGGAGGAGGAATTGGAGGAGAATTGTTCAAGAAAATATAATTCGAATTAAAATTATCGCAAGTGTATGGCTTGTTAATAAGTAATAAAGTGGGTTTTGAGTCTAAGTATTGCTCCACAGATATTGATTTAGTCCAATTTTAATTATCACGACCTTAATCGAAATAAGAATAATGTGATTTGTTTGTTTGTGATAAAATTATAACTAAAATAAGCAACTTATGCAATTAAGAGTAAATTAACTAAACTAAATTTAAATTATTCTAAATGTAACTTAATGTGTTTAATAAATGACAAACTCACTAGGATTTCAAATTTTCATGCAATAATCCTTTTTAAACTTAGTTTTACACGTTGACCATATGATTGAATTTGACGAATCAACGTTTCTATTTTATTTAGCAATCTCTCTCGAGTAATGTTAAACATACTTTTGTATATTACCCAACTATATTTTTATGCTGGATACGAATATATAAGAATGCATAAATTTTTATGAACACTTAAAAATTCACATAAGGCATAATTGTATATTTTTATCCCCTATCAGACCATATGACAATTTATATACATAGGACATATTTCTCTTCTTTCGAATGCATAAAATGGGTCACCACATTAACACAATCATCGTGCACAATAATTGTGAAGAAATTAAAAATTCATATTATATGATTCATCGTTCTCCTAGTACAATAAAAACTAGTCTAACATGTTATGAAGAAGAAAGCAAAACAAATATTGAAGAATCGAAATCATCCAAATAAACCTTCAATTAAATCCTCGGGTCTTGCAATCGATTTTCGTGTTTATTGATTCCTTCTATACTCCCAAAATCTCTTAAAATGTGTTGTAATGCATGTTGTTCACTTCTGGACAGCCCTAAGTCTTTTAATTGTATTCAAATGTCAACTAAAACATTATAACTTCAACGAAATTTCAACCCAAATGAAGATGTAATTACGTTAGGTAGAACATTTATGCAACCTACGTCACATCAAGAATTTTTCTCCCTTCTAGGAAGTATACCAAGTTTAAATAAGTGGAAATTTCAATTTGTATAGAAATGGAATTGTCAGAAAATTGCCAGCACACTCACATGGGGTCCACACATAGGGGTGGACCCCATGTGAGTAAAATATTGCAAAAAAATGGACCTCACCTCTGTATGTGTATTTTGTTGCATTTCTGTATGTTTGTTTTTTGTATACACAACATCTTTGTAAATAAATTAACCATTGCGTCATCACAAATAGCTTTAAACTTTAACCGTGAAACTTTATACATAAAGATAAAATAAAAATATTCCAAGTTCATGGTGTTGAACATACTATTTGAATTGTTCTTAATCAACGTCATCAACAATACTCATTCCTTATCACCTGATCTGCTATACGCCTCTTTTAGTAATTAAAAAAAGAAAAAAAAACTATAGTGGTTATTGTTGAGAAAAAGTCCACCATATGCATAGCGAAAACAGAAGAAAAAATACGAATTTGACGTGATTCGACAAATCACTCTAATAGAGAACTAAGAAATAAAAGTAGGATTATCTCAATATTGGGTTTTTGCAGATAATATTAAAATTTATGTTCAGAACATGCTTTAAAATTATTTAAATTTTATTGTTGACTTTACTGCTAAATGTAATTAGCGATAAATATTGGAATCTGCATTAGACCGTGTTATTGTCAAATTATATGGTAGATCTAATGTCTAATGCGAGCGAGTTGCACATGTAAATATAGGGCCCATATGGTAAAATATAAACCAAAAGCAATCATGCTACACGTACACTTCATTTGACATCAAGTTTGACATTATGCCACATGTTGTGACATGAGTGGACAATTTTAGAGTAAAATACACTTTCCCGCCTATTTGCATTTGAACATACATGGGGTGTCAAATTCCATGTCAACCATTTAATGTACAAGAAGCTTTATTCAACCAAAAGACTACATCAACGACAACCAAAGTGCAAACCAAAGAAAAAAAAAACCAATATATCCATGGCAAACTCACACCATGAACTCTCTCCACTACTATATTTTGGCATCATTTGATTTAGCTAAAAAAGTTTATAAAAAGATAAGTTGATGAAGTCAACAATGAATATTAAGAGATAATAATCTAATTTGAACATTGCACAAGCTTTCAGTGGATCACTAAATTTTTTAAAAAAAATCATTAATCGCTGAATTTTGCAATATGTAACCCCATCCATTACTCAATCAACGGTCATTTGAAAAAGTGACAGAATTGATGACGTAGCAAACGAAGTCGTTTATGTGGCACGATATTGCAATTAGTGGGTGCCAATCATTTAGTTGTTGATGATATGGAGTAATTATTATTTAAAAACTCATGACGCATGTGTGGTGATTGGTTTCTGAGAATGAATCCATATTAATGATTAAAGTTTCGGATAAACAGATTTCAGGGAGGAAAAGACGGACATATAGGAGGACATTTTGGATTTGGGGGAGGCAATTTTGGGAATCGATCGAAGACGAGTTGTGCTTGGGGGTGATCGTGACACAGAGAGACATGCTCCTGTTTTGATTCTTTTTCTTTCCCTTTTTTAAGTAGAGTAAAAAATGTGTTTTTAAATAATACATACTCCATGTAATCGACAATTTCATTATTTGGCATCCACTAATTGCAATACCCTGCCACCCGCATAAACTACTCTATTTGCCATGTTATCAATTCCATCACTTTTTCGAATTGTCAATGACTGAGTGATATATATGATTATATATTACAAAGTCTTTGTGGTTACCAGTATGGCAATTCTGTACCCTGACGTGCTAAAAATTTTGTGCAAAGTTCAGTGCTCAATTAGATTACTAACTCTTAATTTTAACAATATATTTCAGGAAACTCACAATTTTTCAATCATACATTTCATCAACTTTAATTATAATTTATAAAAAAATTGATTTTTATCAAAATCAAATAGGAACTTAGTAGATAGTATCAAACATTATAATATATAAATCTTATTTTAAGTAAGATTTCACGTTAAGAATACAAATATTAATCAACATTTAAGAGTTTGGACTAGTCGTTTTATTATGGTTCACCTTTTAATATGACATCTAAAGTATTTAATATGATATTCGAGCTCATTAACTCAAATGAATATTTTGGTCAGTCTAAAACTCAAATAAACATTCAATCCTAAAACACAAACAATCATTTGGATTTCAAGATTGTTATGTTCAAAGTATTTAATATGATATTCGAGCTCATTAACTCAAATGAATATTTTGGTCAGTCTAAAACTCAAATAAACATTCAATCCTAAAACACAAACAATCATTTGGATTTCAAGATTGTTATGTTCAAAAAGAGCAACCAGCTTATAAGAATTTTTTACTAATATTCTAGTATTGTTGACCTTTTATTTTATTTTTCAATATTATCCTACGCGGTCCATCAATTACTACTCTATTAAACAAGCCACATATTTACGATAAAATTTTGCATAAAAACCCAATTTTTTTCTTTTTTTTTAACAATATATTCTTCAAAAATTCAGTATTACAAAACTCATTTTGGACAAAAAAAAAAAAAGGTTCAAATTGTTCAAAAAAAAAAAAAAATGGCCACTAGGAACATGTCAACAGCTGAAGGCAAGCTTCCGGGAAAAGAAAGACCAATTGAGTTGGACATGTCAACATATTCTCGCTAGATAGCTTTACACGGTGTGATTTGGGAATAAAGCAACGCGGTTTCTCGTCAAAGGAACACGCCATGCTATTCTCGCTACATTAACTTCCCCAATTTTTATCCATGACATGAATTGAGAAAAAAATAGGTAGTTTCCATGACATATTAATAAAACAATACTATATTTATATTTTATTTAAAGTGATGCTTTACTGATTTGATCTAATTATTATTTAATTGAAAAGGAAATTTTCATGAATTGAGATGCATAAATTTAAAGCAAAATGTCAAATTTTTTATATCTTAATGGGAATTTGTTGCTTAATTAATGACTTTAACTAAAAGTAAACTCTTAAATTTAATTTCGATGAAGCTTCCGTTTTCTGGTTATTTCTAAAACCAAATTTCTGATTTGTTCTAATTATTATTTAATCCCTTTATTTATTTAAATAAATAAATATATCATTTTCAGCCCAGAAAGTAAGCTTTGAGTTTTCAAACATTTCTCTACTTTTCCACGAAATATCAGTCTACCAAAAACCTTTGACCAGATAAAAAGTTAGACAACTTCCGGGCTGTGACTGGTCAAACGTGAGCCTCTGTATGTTATATATAAAGGAATAAACAATCAAAGCTTCACTGCAATCAAGCAACTATCTAAATTTGTTAGTTCTATTACAAGACAGAACAATTTTTCCGTTGAGTTGAGTTCGGTCTGATTCTATCTCTTTTCTTTTAGTACTCAACTTTTCCATTGAAGAAATGGTGGAGTTTCTTGGGGGTAGTTCGATGAAATTCTTAGCATATTTTGTTTTAGTTTGTTGGTTTACTGCTGCACTGGTCGAAGGTAGAGTTCGCCATTACAAATGGGAAGTGAAGTATGAATTTAAGTCACCAGATTGCTATAAAAAGCTTGCTATTACCGTCAATGGACGAACCCCGGGGCCGAGTATCATTGCGCAGCAGGGGGATACAATTATTGTAGAGCTCAAGAATAGTTTGTTAACAGAAAATGTTGCAATCCACTGGCATGGAATAAGACAGGTGACTTTCTGATTCTTGTTTATCGTTTTCCTTTTTTGATACAAAACTTGGTGAAAATGAGGTTTGAGTTCATGGATGTCGGCTAAAGGATTCGTGTTTTTCGCAGATTGGAACACCTTGGTTCGATGGAACAGAAGGGGTGACACAGTGTCCTATTCTGCCTGGAGACACCTTTGTGTACAAATTTGTTGTCGATAGAGTACGTTCTTCTTTAATTAAACCTTTGTGACTACTTTTGAGTCGTCCCACATAACTCGTGAAAAGACATCCTTGTGTTGGTTTTAAGGCGGAATCAAAATGAAATTTCAGTTGTTGGTTCAGTAGTTCACTATGTTTTTTCCTTGTTCTGCAGCCAGGGACATATTTATACCATGCACACTATGGTATGCAAAGAGAAGCGGGGTTGTACGGATCAATTCGTGTATCGCTTCCCGATGGAGAATCCGAGCCCTTTTCGTATGATTATGATAGAAGCATAATCCTTACTGATTGGTATCACGCCAGCACATATGAACAAACTGCTGGCCTCTCTTCAATACCCTTTGTCTGGGTTGGAGAACCTCAAGTAAGTTTATCCCAACTTAATACCATCTATGATGACTTTAATTGCATCCCACATCGTTGAGACTTAAAGCACGCTTTTGGCTGTAGTAAAAGTAACATCTATGTTACTTTTAAGCACACTAAAACATGCTCATTGGCAAATCCAGGAGTTTATTTGAGCTAGGGTGGACGCTTGATGCCGCTCGAGCGGCCGCCCAATGTAAGGGAAAAAATTTCAGCGGAGGCTCGCCAAGTGCTGGCTCCGCCTCATAGCTCATGGCAATCTTCACTAGGAAGCCAGTTTTAAGTAGTAGTTATATTACATATGAAATGGAACGAGGTTGTGCGCATGTGACTAATGGATTTCTCTTAAATTTTCAGTCTATTCTGATACAAGGCAAGGGAAGGTTCAATTGCAGTCCACCAAGCATTCAAGCAGGTCTTTGCAATGCCACAAATCCTGAATGTACACCTTATGCACTGACAGTGATTCCTCGAAAAACGTATCGACTCCGAATTGGAAGCCTAACGGCCCTATCAGCATTGAGTTTTGAAATAGAAGGCCATAACATGACAGTTGTTGAAGCTGATGGTCACTATGTTGAACCATTTGCTGTTAAAAACTTGTTCATCTACTCCGGTGAGACGTATTCCGTCCTAGTTACGGCCGATCAAGATCCTTCGAGAAACTACTGGGCAAGTGTGAAAATTGTAAGCAGGAACAGCAATACTACAAATGGTTTAGCCATCTTCAATTATTATCCGAACCATCCACGACGAAACCCTCCAACGGCCCCTCCTCCCGGACCACATTGGAATGACACCGAACCACGACTGGCTCAAAGCATTGCAATAAAATCACACAAAGGTTACATCCATCCTCCTCCTCAGACATCTGACCGAGTGATAATCATGCTCAATACACAAAATCGTATCAACGGCAATGTCCGTTGGTCAATCAACAATGTCTCGTTCAACCTCCCACACACGCCATATCTCATCGCGCTTAAGCACAACTTAACACATGCCTTCGACCCTTCTCCTCCCCCGGAAGGGTACGACTTTGCGAACTACGACATTTACAGCATTGCCAAGAATGTGAATGCTACTACCAGCACTGGCATCTACAGATTGAAGTTCAATACAACAGTGGATATCATATTGCAGAATGCCAACACAATGAACCCGAACAATAGTGAGACACATCCATGGCATTTACATGGACATGATTTTTGGGTTGTAGGCTATGGCAAGGGCAAGTTTGACAGAACTAAGGATCCCAAAAACTACAACCTAGTAAACCCAATTATGAAAAACACAGTGGCTGTTCATCCATATGGATGGACTGCTTTAAGATTTCGGGCCGATAACCCGGGAGTATGGGCTTTTCATTGCCATATAGAGTCCCATTTCTTCATGGGCATGGGAGCTGTATTTGAAGAAGGTATTGAGAAACTGGGCTCATTGCCCAAATCAATAATGGGATGTGGTGATACCAAAGGCTTCAATAGGCCATAGATTTTTTTTATTCTTTTATTTTTTTTGGGAGGAAGATGCTAAAATGACGGATCAAGATTGAAAATTTCGATTTTTTAACATTTGATTGAAAAATACGCCAAGAAAATTACAATTTTCAAAGCGTTACAATTATTGTAACTTCTCATAGAGCTACAATAACTATTGAGAAGTTTCAAATATTGTAACTTTCTTTTTTCAAAAAATAAAATAACTGAAGTTCCAATCAATGTAATTTCCTGGGCGTATTTTCCAATGAAATGTGAAAAAACAAATTTTCCTGTTCATTTATCAATTTTTTAATCTGTTCTTTTAGTAAATTGTATAAGCAACAAGCGTGCTTTAAATTTTGTTTGTATATTTGTTAGCTTGTGAACAAGCTAACAAATAAAACTCTGTTATTTCTCCCTTCTACTGTTTGCAGTGATATTAATTAATGGAAGTTTCTTGGTTTGTTTCAAAAAAAAGAAATATATAGAAAATTTCCATGTAATTTCACGAGGAAAGAACAATTCAAAATCAAATAAAAATGAATACATCAAATGTCAAATTGAACCAAACAACCCAGTTTGTGACAGTTTGCAAGAAACTTCCTCCCAAGGTATGCATTGTTGGAATATTCTAACAATATTTGGGGCCACAAGTAACAAATTAAAATGTGTAGTGCTATTATTTAAAGTATAGTCATTAAAGTGATCCACAAAAGACAAATTTTTGACTAATGGGTATTAAAGTTTCATGGAATTAAAGTGTAGAGACCGGATGTTTGTTTTATATTGTTGAGGGGCCGATTTAAAACAAATGAAAGATAATGAATAGTCATTATCTTATGAATATATAGGTTATGGTCCCCAATTGTTAGTG